TTCGACACCTTAAAATAAATCTGCAGAGGCTACTGTAAATAAAAACTTTTGTTGAGCATCTTGTTTTCTCCACAAGGGTTATGTTGAACACCTTCTCAACAGAAGAAATATTACAACTGAATTTGTACTTAAGTGTCTGTGAAGAAACGATGATTCAGTGAGTTCAGTCCTGGCAGAGGCACTAAACATTTGTCTGGTGAAAGAAAACCTTTTTGGTATATACGGGGGGGGGGGGGGGGGCTTTGCCATGCTAGCTCAGACAATCAAAGAAAACAAACAGGAGCTGCTGGTTTGCCTGCGGCTGCTGTTTGAGCAGAACACAAGGAAAGAAAAACCTCGGGAGTAGGAAGACAGCGTTACACTTCTCTTTCCCACACACTGAGCTTCTTAGATGGTTAACGCTGCTCTGCACACACAGAAAGGTCTTCTTTTAAATAAACTCAGTGAGACAGAATGATTAAAACAGAAATACATTTGGATACTGAGGAGTAAATGCAACACACTTATAGTGATTGATGAAGAAAGACACATCAAGGAACAAATATCTCCAGAAAAGTTAGACATTTTACTCAGGAGGTAGTGAAGACCAAGAAATTAGCAATAAGGAAAGGGAATAGTGGACTTTTTGATTTGACAGTGGGTAAAACAAGACTCCATATCAATTTTATGTTGCCCTGAAAAAGAGGAAATGCTTTGCGCTTTTAGGAGGGACATTGTTTTGTTATATGCTTGTCATAGCGTCCCCAACGAGAAGAAAAATAAATTACTATTGCACTTTTACACCATATTCTGATAAAGTCAAAGTCCAAACTTGGAACCTTTAGCGATAAAGGGACCAGCTATGATACCCCTTCACCATGAGTTTTCTTTATTTCTGAGCTCCAAATTAGTCATGATTTACTCTTTTTTTTTGCCTAAAACTTGTACTTTTTAAAGTCTTTGTTGATTGTTGTGAAATCATAAATGTGCATGCAGGTGTTGCACTGTATTCTTAGGAATAACACTAGCGCTTATGACCAGTAAATAACCAGTTTAGTGTTATGATGGTTTCATGTGGCTTCATCCACGGCTGGTTCCCAGAGTCTCATTATTATGTGGCCTAAAGCATACTCGATACACAGCGGACCACTCTGCATCCAGCCAACTGGGCACTCAACTGTTTCAGACAGCTGCTCCACATTTAAGCAATGACAATGAACAAGGAACTCCACCACATCCTATAAAGATGTCAGTAAAGTCTCAGTGCTGCCTATCCTCCACATATTTTGTGACAAGATGAACTTTTCATTCCCTCACTCTTTTAATTTCACTTGTCTGCCTGTGCTGCAAATCCTGGAGAAAGTTCACAGGAAATGTTGCTCATGGGGCTCGAAGATCAGTTGCTTGCTATATTTAATGACTCAGGAGAGCTTTTTGAACCATCCACCATGTATGAAATGCTGTAGGTGTTGTCTGAAAGTACAAATCAGTTGTGACTCATGAGGGTTGGAGGTTTTGTCTCACATGGGCAGTGCAGGGAAAGCAAAGAAAAGAAAGGCTCAAAATAAATCACTGCTGCAGGGCTACATATATCAAACTCTATAGTTCATTCAAAATGTGTTTTGTCCACTCTACATTGTGCATTTGGACTTTGACAGTAAGGTACAGTTTGAGAAATGTTACACATTTCTCTCCCCGGACACGTGGTGCTTCTTGAAATGTACAATAATGAAATTTCTTATGTGAAGATCTCAGGGCAAAAGAAAGGCATCAAGGCTTTTCTTGTACTTCCTAGGAAGCCAGGTTAGTCTTTTTTTGAAGACGAATGCCATAGCTGAGATGGTGTAGTCTTTGAACTGGCAGACTGAGTTACTCAATGATCTTTTTCCTGCCAGTACATTGCCATTACATAACCGTTATCATGTGAAAAAGTTCAGAAAGCTTCAATCTATACCAAATACAGTCTTGTTGCAGATACATTCATTTCTTCCACTTTGACATTATTTTCTCTCTTTAGTTAAATCTAAGCTAATTATAATTCATTTCCTGTACGTGCATGACATTGTCTAGTGGTTTTCATTTTCCTTTTAAATGAATGAGGCCTCACTGGAGTCTTATCACCATTCTTTTTGGAGGCATCATGGTAGAGAGGGAGCTACTGCACTGCAACCTCCTGACCAGGAGTAGTTGCTGATAAAAAGTTGCTGAAGAGTTTAAATGCCCTCAGTTGCACTTTTGTAAAGGCGATGTTGATTAAAATCTCTATATATGTTTGATTAATGTCAAAAAAATTAGATTCTGTCTTCCCACAGGTTCTTAGGTTTTGCCACAGCTAAAATATAGCTGTCTTTAATTTGGAGCTAGTATCATTAAATTGCCATTTAGATAAAAAAAAAACTATTTAAACTTTGAAACTTAAAATGGAAAGGAGCTCTACATCAAACTTTATATAGATGCCATTACTTGAAATACTCTTTATAATCTTAGTCTATTTGTGACTTCACAGGTGATCATTTATCTTTACATTTTCCCTTACAGCTCTTTAAGTTTTGTAAAGCCCAGGCTACAGGGATGCTTTAAGTGCTCAGCATTGGTATTTAGGTGTTTGTTGTGATCGATTGGCACACTTCCCGGCAGGATGTCCTCCATTATCATAATAGCCAACCAAATCACTATTACAGAAAAATGGCCATGCACTTACCTACTTCAGGAAACAATAAGCTTTCCATACACGGCATCACTCATGTTAAATTAGTCCCTTAAACTGATGGTGAGGGTTGCTGAGTTAAGTCTAACAATACACTGAAACAACATGCAATATGACAGCAAAAGATGAATAAAAGATCTTTGGTTCATGCTCATTATTCACTCAGAGGAGTCAAAATAAGTTAGCATATGCTTCAGTGACTTTTGCCGCACCATTAGCACACAATTAGGACAATAACCACAGTCTAAGTGCTGCAGCTATTCTCCATAACCACTAAAAGTGACATACAAATAGTGCCATTCTTCTTGGTTTTATGCTTTGCTTTTAAAGAAGCCGATAACACTGTGAAGTATATTTAAAGCTTACAGAGACATGTCCTCCTCCTGAGAAAAAAAAAAAGATTATTTTTATGTGTCACTTCATTCCCTCCCTATTAAAGCACATTGCATGCATTGATTTTTTTCTAACTGTGAAAAGAGGACTGGTTATGGTAAGTGTGAAGACACGTTTGAGGTATCCATTGCTTTAAAAACAGCTCAGACGTTGTGATAGTCCAGTGCCTGATCTCTTTCATCATGTTCATAATTTCTGAGGTTATTATGAGTTGAATATTAGAGGCTGCCACTCTTCTCCTGCCCCCTTCTCTGCACGGGGTTCTAGCTAAATGGAGTCACAGTAATTATGGCTTTCATGCATGGGAAGGTTCATTTTCTGAGGTAAGTTGAAGGGCTCAGAGGAAAGGAAAAAAAAATATCTTGGGACTGACAAAGAGAAGGGTGGACAAAATGTCACTTTTTCAGCCCCACACACCTCTGACACGGAACAAGAATAGAACTATTGATGGTATTATCACAGCTATTAACAGCAGAGGGAGCTTCAGTTGTGCAAATTATAATTGTGTTTGTGTCAGGATGAACTTTTCACACCCTCTCTTTTGATGCTGCTTGTCATGGAACATTGCTTGTTGACTTATTCTTGGCACAGAGAAACGTCTCTCGTAACCTCTGGAAAGCAGCGCTCTTGGTCTCTGTTGCCGCTCGGCCTGCAAACAGAAATGTTTCCCAACCTCTACTCTATCATACCCCTTCAATAATCAATTTATCTCTTGAGTAAATAATAACGACATGACAAATGCAACTCTAGCCGCACCCAGAATGCATTTATGCGTTGTACCCAAAAGCAAGCCAATAGTCTGAAGCTGGTTTCTGTGTAAAAACCGAGGCAAAGTGTTGAGGGGTTCAGAGCTGCTCGCCCTTTTTAATTTCAACGAGTAGCTCCAGACAGTGCATCCTGATAACATCACACCCTGGAACCCTGTCTCTGTAGTCTATGAGATAAGATTTGAAGATAAGATATAATGAAACTATATTGATCCTCTTGGGGAAAAATGTGGAGGATAGAAGAAAGCAGTATATAGAATTAGGAGGAGAAAAATAGGAACGTTTTTGTATGGAATATGAAATCAAAACTACAAAAATCCAATCATCTGCAAACCCCTCAAGTGAACTATTGCATCGGTGAAAAATCACAATAGAAATACATTCTACCTTCTATGTGCAATTGATGAAGAACTTAGATTTTATTTCACCTCAATACTGTGAACTCAAGACTACAAAAAAATAACTATTTTGAAAAAATTAAACTGAATGGATCTTAAGCACACTCTTGCTTCTACAAAAAAAAACAAAAAAACAACAACAACTCCACATTGTGGGGAAGATTTGCTATTGTTGTGTTTACAGCAAGTCATGTGTCATGTGCAATAATTTAGTGGCACCATGTCAGCATGTCACGTCAAAGAAATATATGTCATTTCCATGGTTACAGCTGTACAGTCTGTTAAGTATTAGGGCTATGTCAAAAGGCTTAGAGCAGCACAATGCAGAGGGCTATATGCTCTAAAACAAACTTTGCATGTCCTCTGTGTCTCTTTGTCTTTGTGTGTGTGTGTGTGTGTGTGTGTGGTTGTGTGCTCTGGAACTATAACAGCCTAGTTGCGGCAGTTTCCCTAGCTTAATGAAATATCATTGTAATATTCACAAAATCTCCCAAAAGGGATTCATAATAATACCTTTGATAGTATTTTGTTTTTTTGTGGGGGAAAAAACCCCCCACAATTTTTAATATATAGGCTATTGAATGTAGCCTAAGTTGTGACATTCTTTTGGTATCAGTCTAGAATCTGTTCCAAAGTAATCCTAAGGGGTACACTTGCGTCACACTCTGTCAGCTCCATAACCAAAAACGTTCGCATTGTTAGTTTTCTTATTGGGATCGTTCTCCGGTCGATATCTGTAATTGCTCATGGGTTGTATCAATAACTTCCGGTTTTACTGATCCAGCACGAGCCACTGGGAACGGGTTGCCCGGGAAACGGCCGCATGGCAACAGGATCAGAGCCTGGGGGTTGTCTGCTTCTAGGTCTGCTCCCATTTTACATCGCGTTTCCTCACTAGATGGTGTGCGAGCCACTGGAGAGTACGCTTCCCCGCACAGTGAAGCTCTGCATCCAAGCTAAACAAACCTGGGAAACTACACGGAGGACCATTTCTTCACGGGGCTCCGAGGAGGGAAAGTGTGGAAATTTAAAAACGTCAAAGGTTTCTTTTTAATTTTTTTTTTTCGAGCGAACACTACGCCCTTTTTGTAACTAGAAACAAGAAGACTTAGGAGAAAAAGCGGCAACAAACCCCAGCTGTGATGGACATAATGATTGCGGTGCAGGATGCTTGTGTCTCTGGTCAGTGGCTTACTGCGATAATTCTCAGCCTGTGCTGCTTTCTGCCGTCCTGTTTGCCCGCTGGACAAACTGTGGACTATTCGTCGGTTGAAAGTGTGGTGAGCAGACAAGGCGACACGGCTCTACTGAGGTAAAAAAAACAAAAACAAGCTAACACAACTTCACTTTCTCCCGCTCACTTTTCTGACAGAGTTCTCCAAAGCTACACCCGATTTCAACACAGACTCTTGAGCAGCTGTTCATCCTTTTAACATGTCTACTATATACTTTTTAAAGACACATCGCCTGCGATAAACACACAATAGGCCATTTTCCCCCTCCATCCCGTCCTTGTTTTTAGCCTGACAGGGGGTGCTGGACAGTTGCAGCGGAGGCAGCTTTAACAGGACGCTGCTCCTAGAACAAGTGCAGCAAACCGCAAAGTTTTCTGACAACACTTTTCCTTTCTGTACACCAGCTAACACAGACGATGTGATATTTTATGGTGGGGCTGATTCTGTAGCTGCTCTAGCGGGACGGTGTCGCCTGAAATACTACATTAGCATACCGCTGCCTATCGCGTATGTTATCCTTAGTTAGGCTTTATCCTTAGTTTCACTGTTTCAAACGCTAGTGGTGTTTAAAAAAGGGAGTTTAGGATACAAAAACGGCGTCGAGGGCTATTGGAGTGCTATTCTGACAGTTTTAGCTGATTGAACAAGGTGATGTCGCAGTTTCAAAACGAGGCTGAAGATTGTGTTTGTGGTCTCTGTTGATCAAAATCGAGTTATTATGGCAGTGACGCTCTATTCTCCTGCATCCTCCCTCCGTCACGTACGCTACGAGGCAAGCTGCACAAGGAGCTGCCCATTAGGACCTCTACATTAAGAGACACGGGCGTGGTTTGGACCAGTTTGAAACAATTACATGTAAATCTCAGCATTCAGTCAATAAAATCATTAAAAAAAAAAATACTGAAACGATAATGTAATGCATGTTGCAAAATGATCTCCTCTATGTAAATAAAACTCATTTTTTTCCAGGAATTGTTCATGAGAAACTCTGTGTAGTATTTTTTTTAATTTCTTAAGAAAATTCTAAACTCTTAATGAAACACCAAAAACAGAAAAAAAAAGATGCAAAATCTTTGGAGGGCTGTGATAAAATCTTGTTCCACTAATATCAAATATCTGCTTTGATGGCTCCAAGGGAATGCTGGGGGGGACTGGCCCCATTCAAATGTGAATTTTTTGGATGTTGACTTGGAGAGATTCTCTGTGTAGACCTGAATGCAGAGCAGCTAAAAGTGTGTAAAGTTCGCCTAAGGTTAGCTTTTAGTCACTGTTTTATACTTCATTTCTGAAGAGCTGGAATATTTCTGTGTCAAAAGGTCATGAAAAGTGCCCCTGAAGAGATGAGTGTCCAACTATAAGCGTAGTCAAAATGTGTTGGTGCTCTTCACAGAATTACCTTGGCAACAGCTAATGGGTGCTCACTATTTTTACTATTTTCCTGCTTTACCCTAGAGGGCCATCCTGTCAAAGAGACTTACACCTCTGCCTGTCACATTAGAGAGGGGTGTCTAATTCCCTGGTGTCAATCTGGTTTGGCTGTGATCGGAGGCGGAAGCTTTGCCTGAGTCCTGATGGTTTATTGGACCAGAGATTATCCCTGTGCTATGAATCAACTCAATAAACAAGTTTCCACCCCTTGATAAGGCAAAGCTCTTCAACAGCAGGTCATCCCCTCTGGAAATGCCAACCAGAAACCAAGGAAATGGATAGTGCTAATATTTTCATGAATCTTTCAATGCCAAGTTCTTACAGTCTATTAATGTGTTATTCAGCGCTTGCTGAATTCAACTCTGTGAATGCGGCCACTGTGAAGTTACAAGTTTGCTGTACCTGCAGCTGTTGACCTCACTGAGATTGTAAACCTCTTAAACTGCTCAACCGTCCTTTCTCGATTGCATCTCGTGGATAAACGTATTTGACAGCAAAGTGTTGACAAAAGGCTGCTCTGTCTTGTCAAGCCATGCCACAAAGAACCATGGCTGTCTTTTTCCTCCCTTCTTCGTGTTCAACGCTCTTGGGAACCAGGCATCAAAGCATGAACTATCTCTTATTGAGACTCAGTGAAGAAAACAGTGTCTGTTTGTCGAGTTTCTCTATTGTCAAGACCTCAGACTATTAGAGGGCAATTTTGCCGTGCCCCAAAGCTGATTGCTGGCTAAAAAATGAGAGCATTCTCAAATGCTGACAAACCCAGAAGCATGCAATTAGTCACTGCCTCTGGATTATGGAGTAGCTCCCAGGGGTGAGTGGACACTGTCACATGTTCATTTCCCCCACCTGCTCAATTCTTTGCGCTGCATTACAGCTACCCTAATTCATGTTGGACAGTGGGCCCACATCAATTAAGTGATTTGAGCCTCACAAAGATGAGGAATGGTCCACACGTGTATCATCATCCTTTTAATCTTTCTTGATTACCTAGATGTAGCCAATTTCAACCTCTAACAAAGGCCCTATTGTTTGAAATGAGCTGTGCTGCTGCTGCTGCTGTTACAGTGTCGTACATGAGTGCATTCAAGTTATGCACATATGCTGCTTTTTTTACATGCTGGAAATCTATAGGGAGCACATTGTTTAGAGGAGCTACTGATCCGCTTCTTCCCCATTTTCTTTTACAGGTTTCTTGTCATTTGGATTCGGTTGAATAAACCTTGACTCTTCCAAGTAAATGACTCATCTGGCTATGAATTTAAGGGGGACAGCCAGATGAAAAGACAGTTCCCTGTGCTGTCAGGAAACACAGGGTATCAGTGGCAGCCTCTTCCACACGGATAAGCAGCTGCAGTCAACAGCACAGAGCCAGTGTCTGTAAATTTAGTCAGAGCAGGCTGAAATGTTAAGCATAGACTAATTCTAGACAGTTAAAATTTGCTGTGCTATTCTTGAATTATGTCTGTGTTTCTACCTAAGTGCTCTTGGCTTTGGCGATCAACTCTTTTTCCAAGTAAAATATGTATGATAGAGCGAGAGTTAAACAAAGGTACACTGATTGTGCTTTAAAAGCTGACTTTATGTCCTACATAGGAAGATAACAGGAAGCAAGAAAAAATGGAGCACGGCTGCAAACACAAGAATACAAGAACGATTGTAGCTTATATTTGTTATATACTTTGACAGTTGGCCCTCAGCCACAAAACAAGGCCTGCACTACAGCCCCTTAGTCTCAGTAATGGTGCAAAATTGACCTGTCACTTGTTCCAAAGTTGCGGTATTCTTATAAATCTAAAATCATTACCCAGTGTCAACAGAGCGGTTGATGAAAATCTTTTCCGGCTCTACACGATGGTCCTGAAACTGCTTTTTCAAGCCTCATCCTGGATAAAAACGGTGCAATGGATCATCTTCCTCACCTGTGTCATTACTGTGGCTCTGAAAGGTCTTGACATTTTCTATAAGCACTTGTGCCGGCAACAGCATGATCTAGCAGAAATGGCCTGGTGTTCCAAACTGAGTGCAGGTATGAGGCAGTATAGTAGAATCTAACGTGACTGTTTACACTCCACAGGACACAATTTAAAAGAGTAATTGTTGACTGCCTCCTTAACGCAGACCTCTTAACAATGGCTGAGAAACACACACTTCATTTTATGCATTTCATCACTTTTTTTAATTAGGCCACAGCCTTTTGAATAAAAAAAAAAAAAAAAAATGCTACTTTATCTCCAGCTGCTTGTTTGGAGATATTGCAGATATAGTGTACCCTGAACATTAGCTGCCAACCATCAGCAGTTTCATGCACTCATTTGGGGAAAAAACCTGTTCTACTACTCATGACACATCTGTGGGCACACCTGAGTCTGTCACTGTTAATTGCACGCCAAAATCCTCTCGCATGATTGCCGCGGCACAAGTTTAATGCTATTAGTGTTGCTGTCAGCACCATGTTGCTCCCTTTCACAGTCCTTATGCTAGCCATGGTCCCAGCATCTTAAGGATCAAGTGTGAGGCACATTGTTTGACCTCGTTTTTCTGGCGAGGGACAGACATCGTCAGGGTGAGAAACAATGGATTTGGGGGAGGGGCTATTGTTAAGGAGGGGCTCCTAGATTAAGTCGTCATGGCCCAGATAGTAACGTTTTTTTATTTAAACTGTCTGTCTCCTCCCTCTAAACAATGATGTTTTCTGCTGCCCAGGCTATACTATCAGTTTCATTATTCTGGCATCCATTTGTAGTAGATGTACTTAAGTACAAATGGTAATCCGCCAGCAAGGTGCCATGCTAGAGCAGTTACTTAAGAGGCATTCATAGCAGCTGTCTCCTTTAAGAACTCTGGTTAACCTCTTTCTCAGAATCCACTTTAATGTAGAGCCTGTAATGATTTAAAAAAAAAAAAAAGTTCATCAGCTTGTTACTCAAAGCCTAATCTACTTTAGACGAAAATGTATAAAGTTGCAGCAATTAATACTGTCACCCAATGCTGAGAAACTCAAAAATGTTCTTTTAGTCTTTTCTGTGCAGTCATACATAGTTAACTGTTCTTTTAAGATAAATCCAATGTTCAAACATTTAGCCCAAGGATAGCCATTAGGATGCCTATGTTAAATTACAGTTGTATCTTTTATAAACAGATAACATTCAAACTAGTATTGGGAAGGAAGAGAAAATGTGATTTTTTTTCTTTTCACATGTCATGATTTATGTTCTCATCTTGCCAGTATGAAGTGGGGCGAACGTACATTTAAATACAAATGTACACACTGTAAACCATTTCCAAATGGATTACATTTAAAGCCGTCTTTTTTCAGCCAATTCAATCCATTGTACTTTGTGAAAATTAAGCATTTCTATTTCTAATAGGTTTCAATTAGCACTAAAGTGATTGAGTGCCCCGGTGAATTAAAGCCTAAATGGGAATGCTTTCTCAAGGTAAATCCTTTTGACGGTAATAGATGCTGTGCTGGGGTTTAACGCATCTTTCTAATATTCTAATAATCACTACTATTATAGGGGCTACGGAAAATGATTTTGGGTGGAAAATGGAGCTCCATTCCCAGCTGGAGCAACCACGTAATTGCAGTAATACTACAGGAGAATCTCCGAGGAGTGTTTTTGTGTTGTGAGAAAGCTGTAAGCCT